CCTAAATTTGGGTTATATTTTTGGAAATTTACCCTTAAACCAAAAAGTGCGATGACTTTACTATAGAAAAGATATTTACATTAAGCATTTAGACCTTGTATTATAAGGAATGCATATTGTCGTGCAATTCGAGGGGAAGGATTGGTCGAGGAATCAAAGATAATCTTTTGGCTTTAAGCTAACATTGGATCTTTCGTTCCATTGTCTCCCCAGGTAGAACGGAAGTGACGCCGATTTATCTCAACATTTACGTTGCAGTTGAGGAGTCGTTGGACAACCCAGTTTTGCATCAAGATCTGCTCATATTCCCCACCCATGATAACCATTCGCGAGACGTTCAGTCCCATCCCACCTACGACTTTTCGATTCAGCTCCGATTTCCGCACTTGCCTAAACTCACGGAGGATAAAGAAGGAAGACAACAAAAACAGGGTCTGCGCAGACTACTAATATCCATTCAGGACTGCTTTCAAACTCAAAAGGTACAATTCTTCATGTTTACTACAGAGGAATCCCTTGAAACCATGATGTTAGATGAAACTTTGAGTGTTGTGACCGGGGAAAAAGGTGGCCCTTTTGGGAATACAAACACAACTACGACTACATTGTCCATGCTATCCCGCGTACTCTCTCCTAAGGATGCCAACGCCGTTCCCTACCTCGTACTTTTCTTTGCTTCAGCAGTGGTTATGCTGTTTTTACTGGTCATTAACACCTTCATCTGCTTGCTCGAACACCAAAGGAAAGGTCGATCACATGGAATTCATTTAAAGCACCTGCATCTCAAAGACTCAAACAATAAGGAATTTGTGGTTATTTCTGGTAAAAAACCCAAACATCAAGAAGGAGGATACATTCCTCTGAATGCAAAAGTTCCTAATTACCTATTCAAACAATCTGAAATTCCGAGGCGAGGCTTTACTTGCGCAAAGAAGGGAATTCTCGTTACGTACACCAGCTTCCGTGTTTTTTATACATTTATTTTCACATTCTCCGTGGCTCTCTCAATTCTGTTTAGCTTTTGGCCCCCGGTAGGCGTTGAAAATATGGGATCGGCTTCTATTTGGAACAAAGGGATTCTCCTTCCACTCCGTCAACGTGAAGCTGCTCGTCGCGAATCTGACACAGAAAAGTTGATGAATCAGCACTCCGCCAAAGCAGCGCAGCTTGTCCACGCTTGTCAAGACACACTAATTCGACAGATTGTTGATGTCGCTCGTGAAGTTGATAGAACAGTCCAAGAGGTGTTGGATGCCGAGTTGAATCCACAAAAGTCGAAAGAAAACATGTTTAAGCTGCTGGAAGCATTTATCCTTCGCTATATGAATGATCTCGACCTCGCGGTGCAAGACTACATCAGCCATTTGCGTGCCGAGCTTGATAGCAGCATGATGCCCGATGTGATACGATTTTCGGAACTCCTCTCCAGTATCTATGCCTCGCAGTGGTTACTTTTTGTTAAAAGGATGATGAATAGTACCCACATTCCCTGGGATATAAATGCACCTGAGGTTCAGTTCGTTCCCACTCCAGAACACCTAAACGCCCTTCGACTTAAGGTATCCAACATTGAATTTGCACGGCAATTTGGACTTGCAGAAGCGGAAAACTTTCTTTTCATTCCTTCATTAATCACATCCCAGTAAGTTTGTCCACTTGGATAACAAAAATGTGTCATTTGACTTTTCACCAGTAGCTGTTTTAGTGTCAACACCACACAACACTACTCCCATTCTCTATGAGGTGACAAAACATTGTAAACCACACCAGGTAACAACTCGATAGAGTTGGACTGTTTCAAAGACGAACGAACAAGAAAATGGGAACGTAGGGAAGCACAAATACGTTGGTACACTTATTAATAATTCAGTGAATTAATATTTGAAAGCCTCGGAGTAGAATAAGGCTGGCATGGCACATTTCTACCAGTGGTGGTAAGCTAGAAGAGCTACTCCAAGTCCCAAAGCACCATATCCTTGTTAAACATCATCGCTTGGTGAAGGCGTTTTCTGATTTAGGAAGTTTTGAGGATTAACCGCTAACTTGTGCGAGAAATGTCTTCTGTTTATCGAGGCTCTGGTAAGGAGTAAAAACAAAAACGCTTTATATTTCATTGTGTCATCAATGCATTTACGAACGTCTGCTTGTCCAAGTATGCGTAAAAATTATGAGTCTGCAGGGCACTGCAGACCGCTCCGTAAATTTATGTAGTTGGACAATACAACTAACAATGAATTTCTCCTGCTTTTCCCATTTCAAAGCAAGAAAATGAGTTTAAAAGTAGCAACTCATGAACTATGGCTTTGATATTAAAATTAAGTTCGCCCACCAATACATGCTACTTGATCCAGCGTTTTCAAAAGCCCTGGCTGTTAATTAGCAAAACCTCCAAAATTTTATTCGCAGCCAAAGTGTCACGAGGTCATTTGAAGGTCAGCGGCGACGTTTATGCCAATAAAATTCACTGGCATTATGCCACAAACATGCTTTGACTACTGCGCCACGGCAAAGGCAATGAGCCATTACCGCTTAACTTGATCATATCATATTCATGAGAATGAAATGTGAATAAATTTATCGTGCTAAATCAAAATGA